AATCATGTCTGACCCATATCTTACTCGTGCTGTGTTCACTTTTCATAATCAACATGGGAAAAAAAAACCATTATAATATTTTAGCGTTTAGCGGTTTAGCGGTTTAGCGTCGCAGGTGTAATAATCCCGACCATCACTGAGAAGCCTGTCAAGAGCTTAGGCAAGGTGTTTGACAGCACCCTGAGGGACTTTGCATCAATCCAGTCAACCTGCATTGAGCTGGACATATGGCTGAAGTCAGTGGACCGGTCTGGATTGCCAGGGAAGTTTAAAGCTTGGCTATACCAGCATGGTATTCTTCCCAGGATCCTGTGGCCACTACTCGTCTACGAAGTGCCAATCTCGACTGTGGAAACCCTAGAGAGGAAGGTCAGCAGCCACCTCAGAAGATGGCTGGGGCTTCCAAAAAGTCTAAGTAGCATCGCACTTTACGGGCACCACAACAAACTGCAACTGAACAGTTTTGAGTCCTTAAGACCGCTCAAGTTCTTGGAGGAGGAGTTCAAGGTAACAAGAGCTAGGGAAGTGTTGATATACAGAGGCTCAAGTGATCCAAAGGTGGCAATGGCTGGGGTTGAAGTGAGGACTGGTCGGAAGTGGAAGGCTGAGGAGGCTGCTTGACAAGCAGAGGTAAGATTACACCACAAAAGACTGGTGGGGGTGGTTACAAGAGGCAGGGCTGGACTGGGTTCCTTTTCAACTCCCCACATTGACACCACCAAAGGGAAGGAAAGGCGCTGGCTAGTCCAGAAGGAGGTGAGAGCAGTGGTCGAGGAGGAGAGAACCTGCAGGACAGTAGGAATGAGGCAACAGGGCGCCTGGACACGATGGAAGAACGCGATCGAGAGGAAGGTGACATGGGCGGAGCTGTGGAAGGCAGAGCGGATCAAGTTTCTTATCCAGGCAGTATACGATGTGCTTCCCAGCCCATCAAACCTTCACATATGGGGCAAAGTGGAGTCTCCAGCATGCCCACTGTGCTCCAAGTGTGGAACCCTAGAGCACATTCTAAGTTGCTGCTCAAAGGCACTGGGAGAGGGAAGGTACAGGTGGAGGCATGACCAGGTACTGAAGGCCATTGCTGAAGCCATTGCTACAGGAGTCGAGTGGGCAAAGCGCTCCCGCCCCTCCAAACAAGCCATCACCTTCGTCAGAGCTGGAGAGCAACCAAAACCAGCCGCAAAAACATCTGCAGGCATCCTGGCCACTGCGAGGGACTGGCAGCTGTTGGTGGACTTGGAGCGGCAACTCAAGTTCCCTAACCATGTTGTGACCACCTCCTTAAGACCAGATGTCGTTCTCTTGTCTGAGTCCACCAAACAAGTGGTTCTGTTGGAGCTTACAGTCCCTTGGGAAGACCGCTTGGAAGAGGCCTTTGAGAGGAAGCTCACCAAGTACGAGGGACTAGTCAGCGAGTGTCGACAAGCTGGATGGAGAGCAAGGTGTCTTCCAATAGAGGTAGGATGCAGGGGCTTTATAACCCGATCCCTGTCCAGAGCCTTCAGTCTGTTAGGCATTGATGGAGTGCGGAGGAGAAGAGCCATCCGCAATACCACTGAAGCGGCAGAGAAAGCCTCAAGATGGCTATGGCTCAAGAGAGGAGATCCATGGGGGCAGGGTAGCTAGATTTGCCAACTGGACACAAGCTGGGGTCTGATCAGCCACAGCTGGGTCGCCTGGATGAGGGTGTATGATGAGACCCGAAACACCCAATGATTTCAGGAACATCACTGAAGATGTGTCCAGTAGCATCAGTAGATATATTTGCACAGCCTAACAAATATGAAACTAAATGCGCTTATTTAATTGCTATAGTAGACCTACAGACTCTCTATTGATGCACATTAATTTAATTCTGAATTTTGCACACATAAGTTTAAAGGCATTTGTTTGTGCATAGTAAAACATATCTGCAACATTTATCAAGTTCACAGATAATTGTGCGTGTATGTATTAATCATTATGGTACTAAAATCATAATAAAGGCTATACTACAAAAAAAATCAGATGAGCCCAGAATATGAACGCAATCCATTTTAAACCCAGAATATTAAACGTTTAGCATTTTCCTCCCATAGAAAACCATTATAAATAGCAATTATGTCGAAATAATGAGATATTATATCGAAATAACATATATTATGTCGAAAAATAACATGGGGCGGGGCAATGCGAACCTCTAAACTCCACCTGAGTCCGTTTCGCCCGATGCCTTTTAGTCTGATGCCTCTTTGTCTGAGGCTGTTTTGTCTGATGACTTTTAGTCTGATGCCTCTTTGTCTGAGGCCGTTTCGTCCGATGCCTTTTTTGTCTGAGGCTGTTTTGTCTGATGTCGTTTCGTCCGATGCCTTTATGTCCGATGCCTTTTTGTCTGAGGCTGTTTTGTCTGATGCCGTTTCGTCCGATGCCTTTTAGTCTGATGCCTTTTAGTCTGAGGCTGTTTCGTCTGATGCCTAATTGTACGAGACCTGACATTGCTTTTCCTGAGACCTGAAGCTTTTCAGTCTGAGGTGCGATGCCGTTTTGTCCAATGACTGAAGCCTTTTAGTCTGAGGCATGATGCCTGCCTTGTTTTCATATGTCTGATGTCTGAGGATGTCCTAAAATGTACACCGTAGTACAATGTTTGAATATTTGTTTAAAATATGTTTTAAAATTGAACAGTTAATCACATCATGTTAAATATCAGACCACTTACTACTATGAAAGTCAAACTCCAAGAAACTGAAACAGTTGATCACAGTGAAAACCAATTTTTACATTCAAGCACCTAGAACAGTTTTCAAGAGGAATGAAAAATGTTTTACATACATTTATGACAGTGATTGAAATACAATTGGGTGAAGATTACAATTGCTGATGTTGTTTAGTTTTTGAATTCTCAGAAATATTATCCGTTCCTATAAATTGCACACAGCCTACACCTTATTTTGTGAATGTATGGCTCATTTAAAAACTCGCTGACTTAAACGTCAACATGTGCACAGATTAACATGCCTGAGACACATATCTGTAGGCTAGGCCTACTAAATAAAATAAAAGTATAATTCCTGGTCATTAGAAAATGAAAGTGAAAGCAAAGTGAAGTAAAGGCAAAGTATGGAAACCCATACTCGAATATGTCCTCATCTGCATTTAACCCATCCAAGTTAGTGCACACATATTAGGAGCAGGGGAGTGAACATGTAAACATGCATTACATCAGATCTAATATAAAATTCATTGCAACAACCAATCATTTTATGCAATTTATGTGCTGTCTTTCTATCACATTTACAAAAACTAAACAACATCAAAACAATTGTAAGTGTGAAGAAATATAGGCAAACAGATGCACAATTGAGAACCTTATAGCATGAGCCAACTGTACCGTTCCAGGAAAATTCATATTAAACTCATCTATCGTCTCTTCTCTCTTTACTTCTCCCTCTAAATCTCAGCTTTTCTCTTTTACAACATTTGGTATCACCCCAATTGCCCATAAAAGAGATTTATTGATGTTCCACCCATGGATATGACATTACACAGATACAGAACAGAACAGTAAACGTTTATAATGTTTTAACAAAACCTGAAAATATATAACACTAGAATAAGACACAGTCACATTCAATTCAGGCATTAAAATCTGTCAAGAGAAGTTTGAGCAGTTACAATATTGCTGCTGAATGCATTCAAATACGAATCCTGCTTGGTGAACGTGATTTCACCTAATAAAACGTGGTCCTGGATCAACATCCTCGTTGATCCTGGAACAACGTTCCAATCAACCAATCAGATTTAAGGGATGGTTTACAGTTAATGAAGCCTCAATCAAATTTAGGCTTACAACCAGGGTTAGGTGCTTCTACATCACTGTTATTCATAATTTCCCTTTGATTTTAGGATAAGTTATGGGTAGGGTTAGGTTTATGGGTAGGGATAGGGTTAGACATATGTTTTTGGACAGGATTGTGGTTCCAGGCTCAACAAAAGATGTTGATCCAGGAACATGTCTTACTTGGCAAAATCACTGCGCCCGAGCATACTTAAACATAGTTAGCCTATATATTTTAGATTTTATAATGGAATTCTGTCAATCAGAACAGTATAAATAAAGTATGGGGGTATAAGGGAATAAGGGATCTGTTGTGTTTGATTCCCACTATTACAGATAAGGCAAATTTTTCCCCAGGGACTGACAAAGATGTTCTGCCTGGCAAGGAATACAAGCACTCAGTCCTATGATTACAGTATGTTATAACTGCATTACTAAGTCAGGAAATGGGTGTAATCTTGAAATGTGGATGCTTTTTCTATTGGGAATGCACTTTAAAATAAATGAATGTATTATACCAGTCCCCCTTTATCATACAAAATTATTACTCTCATCAATCATGTCTTTATGTGACAGACAGATGAGTTATAGGGCCTGATACCTGATCAACAATCGGAACATATATTCATTTTGTGTATTTCACAAGCACATATATGAAGGTGACATTTATGTCTTTTTCGTAATTTTATTTAATCATCTTTTTGAGTTTAAACATTGTATAATATTAATTAGTAGTTTCTGAAAAACTACATATTTGATAGAACATTTCAGACAATGTGTCTTTCTGCGGGTTTTCTCTCTCTCTCTCTGTGTGTGTGTGTGTGTGTGTGCAATCTTGTTTGAAAGGATGAGTCACAAAAATAAGCCCCAGAAAAATGAAAAACTCCAGCACAGTTTTGTTTGTCCAGTGGATATTGCCGGTTTTCCCCTTTTAGGCTGCAGCAATATAAGCTGACAGGTATATTCAGATGTATTGTGGGTTTTAGCTTGTATCACACTAGACATTAGGGTTAGCATTAGGGCTTAGCTAGCTGCAATTTCCAGGCATTTGTACACTGGCAGTACCTCCAATCTTAGCTCTGTGCCTCAAGGAAGAAGAGATAATGTTTCAAATGCAAGTGTTGCCTTCGCCCAATTCATTCCTTATAGCTTTTCATTGTGTTTGAGTGAAAGCTACAGCTCACAAACCTTCTGCTGCCTTTTCCTTATATAGTCCACCAGTTTTAGCAGAGTAAAATGCTTTTGCAAATTTAAAACATAATCAGTGTGCATTACATACCTCAATGTTACAACAAGGATTAGGATTCAATCCTGATAAATCAAATGGGTTTTAGTCATGACTTCCTTCCTTGGACCAATCAGAATCCAGAATCAATCCATTCAATCGTAGAACAAGTTAACATAAATACATTTTCAATACATTTATGTACTTTTATTTCCACATTACCACCATATGGCATCTGTCACTGTAGTGGAAGTCAAGGTTGATCTAAGCTAAACACTGGTTTTGATGTCCAGATTAATTAAGCAATAAGTCCAATTACACAGAACTGTTTCTGAGTCTAAAAGATGTCCGTGACACATCAGTGTTCATGGTGGACATTGGAAAGTGTTCGTAGCTGTCTTCGATTGGCTGAAAATGGCAGTGTAGCACCACAGAGGACACATCCTTGCGGAAGTTGCTGTTGAGGAAGCCATAGATGATGGGGTTGATGCAGGTGGAACTCATGGCCAGCAGATGACAGAGTGAAAACAGCAGATTGTGGTAACACACAGGCAGTGCCTCCTGGTACCAGTCCGCCACCACATTAAAGGCATTCAATGGCAGCCAGCACACAGCAAATGCAACCACCAAAGTGGCAAGCATAACATTTATGCGTTTGCTGTGCATCACACGCCTGTGTTCGTCTTCTCGATTGCGGCAGCACTGGCGCTCCAGCATGCGTTGTCTGCGTCGCAGCCGCAGGAAAATGCGAAGGTAGCAGAGAAGCATGAGGAGTAGCGGGCAGCAGTACTGGAATATTAACAGGCTGGTGGTGTAGACTAGTTTGTGCTGCTGAGAAGGCCAGACTTCCAGACACGCCTGTAGCTGGCTAAGCGGCGCTGGAAGCAGACTGTATGGCTCGCTGCTGAGCATGTGGAATGCCAGGAAAGGTAATGATGTTACGCAGGCCAACAGCCACACAATCAAAACGGCTATGTAGGCCTGTGGGACGCTCGGCTTCCAGCCAGATGGATGCAGTATGAGCTGGTGCCTTTCAAGTGCGATCAAAACCAGAGACAGAACTGAAACTGTCACCGACACACACTGCACAAATGGCATTAGGCGACATAGCAGCCCACCGAAGATCCAGTGATCCATAAGAGTGTAAACCACAGTGAAGGGAAGGCAGAACACACTCACCAGGATGTCAGAAACCGAAAGGTTGGCAATGAGGATGCTAGTGACGTTAGGAGGGTCCCGCTGGTGCATAATAATGCAAATGAGGAGGATGTTACCAAGCAAGCCCAAAATAAGCACCAGGCAGTAGCATAACACTAGTGTAAGTGTCATGGCGCTTGATTGCCAGCAGGGGACGTCGAGCAGGAACAAACTACTGTTGCTTTGATTGAGGGTGAGGGTGGAGTTTAAGAGCTCCTGCCACCACGGCATGTCAAAGAGAACCGACGGCATTGGCCACCTCAGGATAGCGCCATCTTGGGAGTCTGAAAATAACAAAAAGGAGCATCTAAATTAGATGTGCACTCCCCTAGGGCACTCTGCATGCATTTCAGCAGCTGTGATACTATAGAGACTATAGTGGTTATTTTAGAAATAATGAGGACATAAAGTGAAAGGATGTTAAAGGTGATTTTAAGACAAGAGTTTTACTTAATCCCAAACAGTGACTCGTACAGAGCGCTATTATCATTTCTTCTGAGACCTTTATATCTATGAGTTAGGAGAGAGAGCTGGGTTGACACATTTGATTAAAAATAAAAAAGACAGACTCTTTGTTATTTTACTTTTTCTGTGGTTGGACATAATGGGAAAGAGATAAAAGAGAAGTGTGTGGGAGGAATGATACTGTGACCCTGCTGAGGGATTTGCACTGCATCCAATTATAGATGTTCCTTTGGGGGTGGCCATTGATCCGGGACCTGCAATTGCTCATAATAAGAACACAATCAGACCATTTCAGCAAAGTATCCACAGAGTGGCTTGGAGACTGTAGTGTTTTATTTGTGTGTTTCTTGGGTAGCAGGCTTACAGACTGGTCATGTAGCAATGTCTGAAAAGCGCCTCACATTCCATCCATCAACAATCTAAATTCTTAAAGGGATATTTAACCTAAAAATGAAAAATCTATCATTAACTCACTTCAGAGAGAGAAAAGGAATCACAGAGGACAGCAGGTTTACTCTTGCCTATGATTTTGTAAGAAATATTTTTCTTACAAAAACTCTTCACTTTGCTTCAGAAGGCTTTTTTTTTTACCATATCAGTGTATGGGGATACAATCAGTATATGGGGATGATTAGGAGGCCATAAAGATGGACAGAGACCAATGGCCAAATCTGGCCAGGATGCCGGGGTTAAACCCCTGATTTTTTTTCCAAAGGAAATCCTGGTATTTTTAATGACCAAAGAGAGTCAGAAACTCGGTTTAATGTCTCATCCGAAAGACGGTGCTTTTTGACAGTATAGTGTCCCCATCACTATACTGGGGTGTTAGGACACACGCAGACCACAGGGTGAGCACCCCCTTTTGGCCTCACTAACACCTCTTCTAGCAGTAACCTAGTTTTCCCAGGAGGTCTCCCATCCAGGTACTGACCAGGCTCAACCCTGCTTAGCTTCTGTGGCCAACCAGTCTTGGGCTACAGGTTGATATGGCTGCTGGCTTGTTGTGGGAAAAACATTAAAACATATCGATCACTGCAGCAATGGTAAAGTTACGGCCAGTCCCAACTTGGAAACTCATCTATCAAAGTGATATTTTTTATGATAATTCATAATTACGGTAATTTCAGCAGCATGTTGAGGCAGCATTAGGCAGGATGTTTACACTGCTCTTTTCCATACAATAAAAAGGAATGATAACCATATGTTATCAAGCTCCAAATCGAAAAAAAAAAAACCCCACCATTTTTTTATTTTTATTATAAAACTAAATGAAATTGAAGTCATTATTCATTATACTGAAAAGAGCAGCATCAGCATTCTTCTTTAGTGTTCCACGACATATGGGTGAGTAACTGATGAAAGCAGTTGATCATTACAATTTGCGTGAAATATCATTATGTGGAGAGACTGATTGTGTTGCCCTGTTGTAAATCATGTGAAAGAGCCGTCAGCTTTGCTCACTATATGCCAGCTGAACTCGGAATAGGCTAGTCTAAGGTAGAGGCATTCTTAGCTTTTGACTATGAAACAATGAGCATAACCATCCTTTATTTGCGCAACAAATTACATTTTCATGCTTGGCTGTATTTGTGGCTGTCTTTATCTCTCTTTGTTGGTCTCTCTCTATCTCGCTCTCTCAATCAGGATAGACATAATGAGATAATTTTGGACTTCCTGTTGTAATTGTGCCTCATTTAATTATATTATAATATTAGAATTCTCTCATCGTCAAACATATCTGCAACTTGGCAAACACAGAGACGAAAATCAGTTTGTTATGGTCAAATGTGTGGGTGTTTCCAAACAAAAAATTAGATAATATTTTCACACTTTTAGCATAATTTGGTTAAATTACAGATTGGAAATGTGTTTCGTGTGATGAAGAGAGGAAAGGAGGAAGAGTGATCGCTACCCTGACTTACAGCTGATATCCTTTTCTTTTATATCATCAAATGTTATTCTTTACCTGTGATAGGAGGACTCGGAGGGTGAGAAGATCACATTGTCCTCCAGCACTTTCTCTCTGTCAGTTTCATTCTTTTCTCTCCCTTTCATAATCATCCCAATCTCACATCTCTCTATTCTTCTCCTACAGGTGTGGATTTTCCCTTAGGCAGTTTTACATGTCACACTGACCAAACTGTAAAATATTCACATCTGCACTCATATACCGACCATAATACAAAAGCTGAGCTGTATTATGTAGATTATATTAAAGCCTTGTGCCTGATGTGGTTTAAACTTTTAGTTATTTACTTAAATACTTAGTACATGATTTTCATTTTCAAAAAAATCACAGATGCTGTTGTGCTGACCTCTGAACTCCTTTTGGTCAAGGGCAATTGTAAATTTTCGACAGAAAATCCTCTTACACATAACACAAAACATTGTGGTCATATATCCCATTTGTGTGAAGTGACTTATCAGAAGCAGAACATCCATATAAAGGTAAAAATAATTAACCCTGAGGAATAGCTTTTCAGTCTGACTCAAATATGATCCAAATAAAGCTTTTAAAAATCGCTAAATTCTGTCGCCATACTGCCCATTTGCACAAACATACTGATCTGAGGAGGTGTGTGTGCATTTATGTGTGCAAGGGAGAAAATTGCCTATGTGTCCTCACTTCATGGCAACACCAAAGAGCTGCAGTCTATGTCAACATGTCCAATAGATGACTTGGTTACTTCAAGCTTTTCACAACCTATTGCGAACAACTATGTTTGCATGTGCATGTATGGCTGATGTGGGCTGCAATTACAATGTCTCCAATATGGAAGCGAAACTGATCAGATATAAAATACTAAATAGAACACAACCTTTCCAACTTAAAGAGACAAAAGCGTCCACAGAGGCTTAAATTCATGTTCTCTATTCACAGACAATCAAACTTAAAACACATGAAGATGCTCTACAGAATAATTAAACTGTGACCCTGATACATTCATAAATTCAGTCCGTTCTCTCATCTTTGAAACAAGGAGATAAAATAAACAGTTACACGTATAAATTATTGTATTCATATGATCATTTATTATTACTGATAGCTATATAGTGTAGAAACATGCATTTTTCTATGTGTATAGTATAGAACTCACCTGTCTTCTACAGCAGATTGCTGTCAGGCAGTCGGGGGAATAAACACTCTGATTCAGTCAACTCCAGGTGTTCTACCTCAACATTCATCTCTCTCTCTCTCTCTCTCTCTCTCTCTCTCTCTCTCTCTCTTTCTCTCTGGGCTTCTTCTGAGCCCACATCCTTGAAATGTGCCGTCTCTGTAGTAACTATTCTGCTGGGCTTCACACTGTAAGCATAACCCCATGCGATTGCACTGTGTTTACTGCCCACGTGTGACATGAACCATGTACTGCATCAGGTTCCTTTGGATACAGACTATAAAACACATTCAGGTCCCTTTAACATATATTTTCCTCAACAAAAAAAAAATACACTAGCACACACAAATGTATGCTTATTGGCCCACGGTACATTTAAAGGTAGGGAAGGCTATGTTTTTCATAAACACTTTTGGTTATACTGGTTGAAACTCTCTTCACATCCTAGTGGCAATCAATAATGAAATGTCGTAACTGTAATTAAGATGGCAACCCCGTTTTAGACCTATTCATGTCCTCAGACTCGGATTTATGCGTTTAAATGGCAACACTATCAATGCTGAAATGAATCCGCAGCAGTCATGTGTAATGTAACATTATTATTGAAATGTTATGTACTTTGAGACATTTAATGCAGTCTCTCATGACGCTTTGCAGACTCTGCTCATGTGTTTTTGAGGAGGTGCTTTGAGGAGGAGTGCTGTGAAGGGAGGGTGGGATCTACCTGTAAGGCCCTGTTTACACCTGGTATTAAGATGCGTTTTGGTCGATTTGATCACAAGTGGACGACGCTAAATACAAGTTGTTGTTTTTTTAGCTTGTCCACTTTCGACCACTTCCAGAGGTAGTCGAAAACACATTTGACCGGATTGCTTTCGTGGTGTATACGCTCTGCATAATTTGTAAGTTGTGAATACTCTGCATACCCGATAAGTTGCGAACAAGTTGCGAATGCTCTGCATACCCGAACCTAGAGGTGTTCGATTTCAGGTTTTTTGGAGTCGACTCCGACCATATTCACTCCTGTTCAAGAGAGTTTACTGTCTTGGCTCCTCGACTCCATTTACTTTACATCAAAACAGGGTGGGTAATAATGCAAGATTGCAGTTTTTATGACACACGTACTTACGTGTGTCACTTTTCCCTACACAAAGCTTTAAATTCCTCTTATTAAAACAACACACTTTTAGCGTGACGGTTCAAATTAGACCAATTTAGCGATGACATTACCTTGAAATGATGAGTAGCTATCAATTTCATCACCTGTTGGCGATGCCTAATTTTACAGAGAGAAAAGTCACGAGAAACAGCCGTGATTGAATATTATGCCAGAATTAAATAAACGAGAAAGAAGGTTTTCTTTAACCAATTAATCTAATTAAGCTGGTCGGGTGTTGGCGCTAAATGCACATGATCATTGTCTTAAAATTTTATGAGATGGGCAAGAGCAGCTTCCAAATCCTCTGTACTCATCTGGCTGGATCTGGCTGCTACTTTTGACATAGTGCACCAGATTAACCAGTTAACCTCCTGTCCTATCAATCCTCAAGACGAAGGGCATCTCAGGAACTGCACTCCAATGGTTCAAGTCTTACTTCTCAGGTAGGTCCTTCAGGGTGTCATGGAGGGGTGAGTTGTCTGTGTCGCAACATCTAACTGGGGTGCCTCAGGGTAGAGTCCTCCCGCAATATGCATGTCCACTCTCGCCCGCACCCGCAAAACTCTGAGAATTTATTCCCGCACAATAATAGAGATGCATTGACTTTGTGTCTTCTCCCGTCCCGCAGGAAAAAACACATATTTGTATTGCTGTTATTAAAGAGATTCATGGGGTTGTTTGTTTCGTTTCCCTGGCCTGCATGTATTCTGACGCACTGATCAGGAAGATGAATAGTAGTCCAAATGTCAGACTTGCCTTGCTTAGGTTTGTAAATACCTCGTTTGAGGTTCTTTTCCACATCATTGACATCTCTATCATGTCGCCAGGCTATTTCCCGATCCCGCAGTTGTTTTTTTTAACCGCCCATTCCCGCCCGCAGCAAGGTTAAAACCGCCCGCTCCCGCGAGATTTGCGTTGGGTCCCGTGGGACCCGGCGGGACTCAATCCCAATGCAGCCCTCTACCTCAGGGCTCAGTGCTTGGACCACTTCTCTTCTCCATCTACATGTCATCACTAGGATCTGTCATTCAGAAACATGGTTTTTCCTATCACTGCTATGCTGATGACACACAACTCTCCTTCCAACCAGGTAGATGCTCGCATCTCAGCCTGCCTAACAGACATTTCTTGCTGGATGAAGGACCACCTCCTTCAACTAAACATTGCGAAGACAGAACTGTTTGTGGTCTCGGCCAACCCAACACTTCATCACAACTTCTCCATTCAGGTTTGTCAATCATAACTCCATCCAGGGCATCCAGAAACCTTGGAGTTGTGATTGATGATCAGTTGAACTTCACAGACCACATTGCTAGAACTGCAACTGGCAACCCAAACCCGAATTTTTCCTCTGCATTTAACCCATCCAAGTTAGTGCACACATATTAGGAGCAGTGTAACTGCAAACCATGGACACACACACCCGAAGCAGTGGACAGCCATTCACTGCAGCGGGCGGGGAACGATTGGGGGTTAGGTGCCTTTGCTCAAGGCCTTAGTCATTACCTGCCCAAGAAAAGGCATAGTTCTGTGCGCATGCGCTACTTTCCGTCAGTCATCACAGAGACTATTTATATAGAGACATGCCACTTCATCAATCCTTAATACAACTATATAGGGAAAACCCGTAACGCCAAAGATAGCGGTTGTATGCACATGTCCCGCCCCTCCCGCTGGAAAGCCAATTTAAGAAACATTTAAGCCTATCGTCTGGTTCCACTGACGCATGCGCACAGTTGAGGTTTGCGACAGCGCAAAATACGTTACTGTTTGAAAAGGCGGCAGATTTGATATGCAGTGTATGTGTGAGTTGTGAAAATATCAGACATCAGAAGTCTCCCGCAGATTGATAGCGGCTCCCTGATGCCCGCAAATTAGTTTAAATCTCCCGGAATGCAAGAGCTCGCACATACTGTGCTTCAAACTGTGTAGCACTACAGAGGGAGAGAACCCTTGCGCATGCGTAGTAAAAGTATAACCTGTGGGGGAAAAGGCGTTTTAAACCTTATTTTGGGGCAAAGTCATCAAACTTTTTCAGTGATTTTTATCATATTTTACTGCTGTTTCTATACATGCAGTTTTTATGTCCCGGTAACCAGTGAAACTGCAGTTCTGACTCTCTGCCCATTCATTTAGATAGGAGCCTGGTCTTGTTAGTCCGAAATAGCTGCCCGGAGGCGTTGCCAAGATGGCGGAGTGGCATGACTTGCCTAAAAGGACTTTGGTCATCTTCAGCCGAGCGGAAGGTGGCAGCAGGACAGTGTGTGCAATGTATAGGCCCCTACGTCAATAACCAACTGTAAGTTGACTGTTTCCAAGTAAATGATAAATTCTGGTTAAGGAGTAAAGCGTGAATACAATGTCACATCCTGTCACTAATGAGTATTTATCAGTGTTAAAGCCGTTTATTGTGCACTGTTGAGCGCACGCGATTGTTCCGATTATGTTCAATAATACTCGGAATTCATATCATAGGCTATATATTGCAACCAGTGTTTGATTTGTATGTATCTATGTGTGATCATCACATTAACAGCTAAAACGCTTGCTATTTCAAGTTTATGTACGCGAATCAATGTTTCTGATTTACATGCAGTTCATTTTGCTTCATAAACAGTTTCGGTTTGAATGTCTTACTGTTTCTGACCACTAAGTAGCGGTGTCGCATACGAATTTTGTGGCTTATTGATTCATTTTTTTATTCTATAATTTAACTTGAGAATTTCTTTACTTGAGAGATTTGTAGCTGTTTATGGAAGTAATGTTTGTATGATAATACCCAAGACATATTTGTTAATATATATCTTTATTCCTTTCCCTTTGTAACCACACACATCTACACACACTTATACTGTAACCATGTAAAGCCTGTGTACTGCTGTGTTGTGTACAGCCAAAGATTGTCAACAAATAAACCTCCTTTGCATGGAACGGATCAAATCCAGTGTGTTCTGACCGACACCCCATTGAGGAAGGCTAGCTAAACCATCACCTAATACAGTCCAACCTTTTCAGTCCTACTATCGAACACTGTGAGGAATGAGAATCAAACCTGCGACCTCTGCTCATTAGGCCACTACTTCTGTATCTTTAGTTTTCAGTATACTGCTTTACTGTTCTGGTCTAATGTTTTCATAAATGCTCAAACAACAACAAATGTATGCTCGGGTACGTTTATTTTATTAAGCCTCATTTATATATCAGCTTATTCAACAGGTTATAGCTTTGTATTAAATGTAAAACAAATACATGTAATTATTTTTGCTGTTCAAAGTCATCAGCAATGACTTCAGGTGAGTCAGCAATGACTTCAGGTGAGTCAGCAATGACTTCAGGTGAGTCTGAGGAATCCGGCTGATTGGGAACTTGCTCTTCATCACCGCTGAAACACACACATACACACGGTCATCTATAAGTTATGTGTTTGCATTTTGCCATTTCTCAAACCATTGCACAAATCATTAGTGCACAGATACATACATTTCATTGATTTTCAAAATGGCATAATAAGACTATACTGCCGGATATTGATTTTGATTTTGCAAGAGAGTTGTTACATGGATGGTTCTTCAGTCTCTCCGAGGTCATTCTCAGTGAATGCTCCAAAGTTATCATAAAATATTTCAGCGGTGGGTTCAGGTTGGGTGTGATCAAATCTGCCCAGACATTTGCACAAAAAAAGTAGAAAGAAAGAAAAATAGAGTGTCATAATTTTGGTCATATTCAGTAGAACAAATTTCCTGATTTCTGCAAGAAAATTGGAAATACATTTTCTCTATAAATGTGAAAGTGATGTGAGCTATATTTAAATAATAATAATTTAATATAGTGCCTTTCGTGCACTTAAGCCATTTTATGCAAACAGAAACAACTAAGAAAAAGATAATTGAAGAACACAGTCATGCATCACAGCAAAATTTCCACAACTGTCACAATATAATTATTTTATAATAAACAAAAATAGAACAGGGAAATGAGTGTGTGCAAGTACACAAATGTACCGTTGACAACAGATGATTCCATACTCCACACAGACACATATGTCATGTTCGTTCTCCCAATCAGAGTTAAATTCATGGCGATTTCCATCAGAGTCAGTACAACCTGAATCAACAATAGAAATGTACCTAAAATATTATTACTTAGTTATCCAGGATCATAAATACACACAAACACAGAAATACTTTTTAACTTGATCTCGTGAGAAAGCTTCATTTATACGGGCCTGCTGCTACTAAATCACAGTGTCCAGATGAAATGGGCCAAAAACACGTTTTTTAATCATTAGTGAATGTGATGCTTAAAGGGATAAAAAGCCACATAAATCTTCAAACGACTGGAATAGCCATTGATGGGTCTCTGAACTCAATGTGCATTTAAGCCCTCCTACCACAGCGTCATCTCTCTGGCTTTAATAGGACGTACTGACAATTTCTGAATCAATCGATCGATCGATAAATTAATCAATTAGTCAATCGTAGAGTTTGTACCTGCAACCATATATTTAATGGTTTGCAAAAATGTGAGCATAGTTACATTTTTCCCAATAGACAAGGTAGTAACATCACCTGGGCTGTTAGTGGTATCTTCTTGAGGGTTAACTTCTAGAGTGCAGGCATTACAGCAGACCACTGCTGTAAGCAACACAATCAGTCTCAACTGAAAGAGAGAACAAAAGAGATTGGACATGGACTTATTTGACACCACATTTGATGTAAATATATGCTGCAAAGTATATACAAAAATCAACATAAAGGCAATCTAAAAATAGTTTGCATTTTAAATAACAAATGCATAACTGGAGACAAATGAACCAAATACATCTACAACATACAGCACATAAGACTCATGCGTGAAATACTGTTTTCCCCCTATAAGCAGTGTTGGGGGTAACTCATTACAAGTAACTTGAGTTACGTAATCAGATTACTTTTTCAAGTAACTAGTAAAGTAACGCATTACTTTTAAAATTTACAACAAAATATCTAAATTACTTTTTCTAATAAGTAACGCAAGTTACTTTATTTTCGCCTTTATTGATTGACTGCTCTTCTGTCCTAATGTTGAGACAAATCGAAGTGCAGATGCGTTGTGTGTAAACATGATGGTTATTATAGTTCTAGATTAAATGTAAGCGTGGATTTACTCATCTCACTTGCACAAAAAAGATTCAATATTCCTCAAAATGAATAAAATCAGTGAAATGCAGAATCAGAACACTATGCAAACCTCCAATACCTAAATATGTTAAATAAAACAAATTTTTATACATTTAATCTTTATTGACCAAAGTACTTGCTTCTGACCTCCGATTTTTCAGTTAAACCATAAGCAAAAATGACTATAGATTTTTTTATATGTTTTTTTTGGTAAAGTAAGGTTTGGTTTGGTAAAGTCTTCTGTTACCCAGAACAGCAGCAGCTGAAATGTTTGTTTGAGAGGCCCAAATTGTTCTTTACATTTGCCCAAAAATATATCTTTTTTGGTATAAAAAAACAAGCCCAGCCCAGGTGGAAAAAAAGTAACGCAAAAGTAACGTAACACATTACTTTTCAAAAAAAGTAACTAAGTAACGCAATAAGTTACTTTTTAAGGGAGTAACGCAATATTGTAACGCATTACTTTTCAAAGTAACTTACCCCAACACTGCCTATAAGTAACAGAAAATCACATTGTATCATATTAAAGAAGAAGAACACAGAATATTCAGCACCAGAAAAGACCATAAAAAAACAGCAAATTGTTAAAGAGACCCCATAAACCTGCTGTTTAGGATAAAAATTGTACAGTACCATGTTATGGCGAGATGTGGTGAGCAATACGAGAAGACTGGTCAATCAAACACCAACAGGCACTTTAGGAACTCTTGAAATGCTACTATAAATACTATCTCTAAATTCACATACGTGACAGTCTTTTCCTCCAACCAGTGAACAGCAGCTGTATGCTGGCATGAATGGGTAAACCCCACCCCCATTTTCTGCTTCAATTGGTGTACTTAGTTACTTTGCATCTGCTATTGTTGGAAAACGGCACTTATCCAAAACCAAATAATTTGCATTGGTGTGGTCAGTGTAGATATTAAACAAATTGATCTTGGATAAATATTTCTAAGAACTGGTTGAGGGTATGAATGCAAATTAATTGATTTAAATTTTTGGTGGCTTTACAAACATATGACTTGATAAAAACCTTAAATATCCACTGCACGAATCTACAAACTTCCATCAACAAATTAGAAGAAAATTTATTGTAACTAGGCACTGTAAAAATATTTTCATGATTTGTTATCACAAATTTTTTTCTTTTGTCAAATCAACTTCGATAATTCATTTGGTTCAGATAACATAATATTTGTCTGTTGATTAAACTAATCTCCATTGTATTAACTACAAATATTTCACTGAACTCAACATTTTAAGGCAACCAGGTTACTTACTTTTTTTTAAAGCTGCAGTCGATAACTTTTTTGGGTTAAAAATTATCCAAAATAAATTTTTGAGCAAGTACATAACCAGCCAGTGCAAAACTATCTGCTTGCCTCGATTCAAAGCGGTAAACTTGTAATAATGTTTTTAATTCCAGTGGTACTGGTGGATTTCCGCGGGAGATTCGAGCATGTCTTTGCGTCATTACGTCACATCTGTACACATAAAGAAGGAGTCTCAGCTAGTAGGCTATATTGCGAGTGAGGATGTTGGAGGTGGAGATTTATAGCCTTTTCTCACAGCACTTGATATAATTAAACTTAGCAATTTGATGGCGGATCCAGAAAGGTTCAAACGACAATCACCAGTGGCAACAGATTCACCCGCTGTAACATGCAAAAAAAGAGACTGCAACCGGGCTCATGTGAAAACAAGGATAAATATCGGAAGGGCATTAAATGTAGTCACGCAATGCAGATGTTGTTAACATTAACAATTTGAGAACAAAGTATATTTTGCATGGTTTGACGTGATATGACAAGCGATCATTAGATTTAATCAGCGCGATTTACTGCACTGCTTTTTTTCCCTTAGTTGGTAAGATCAAAAGTGGATTTAACTTACTTGTTCAGATGACATTTTCCGGTGAAAATTCTTATGTTGGTCATACTTCCAAAAAGTAGAATCTGTGATTCTAAATGACAGCCGCACATTCTCCTCAAAACATTCATCCGAGGCACAACCCATGTAAAGTGGACAATTCCACGAATAACTGCAATTGCAGATTTCGAACAGAGATGGTGACAAAGAGGAAAAACTACGGACGGCAGCTTTAAGTTTAACCAACAATCATTTTTTACAGTGTATAATTATTTTGCTTTGTACAGGTCACAACCTCTGACTGAACTAAAATCTTTTTCATGTTCTGTACAGTATGTTCAGCCCAGTATCTTCTCCTTTGAACGGTGTAGAGTTGAGGTGGTCTGGGCACAGAAGACCTCACTCATGCAGCATGCACACATGTGGCTATGGGGCGTAGCCATCATTTCAAAAGTGAGGGGGACAGAATGTCAAGGTTTTTTCTTCAGACTTTTGTTGACAGGTTTTTGCTTGATTGGTTTAATATGCAATTTATTTTTAAAGCAATAAAACAGAACTATATTGCACATGCAGGGTTTTTGGTTGAAAACGAGGCGGAGGTGGTAAAATCCCGAGCATGTATTTAAATTAGATAATAAAATGTTTATTTTTCGTAGATCACCATATAGCCTACTGTGTTACCCACATTATTTTTGTAGGTGGATCTCGGTACTTCTAGGGGGGTCCGGGGGCATGCCCCCCCGGAAGATTTTTTTTTTAATTCTAAAGATAAATTCATTAATCTGGTGCACTTTGAGTCCCCCGAATCCATTGTTAAAAATAAATAATCCACCCGTCAACCGCCCAAACATATGATATTCTCTGATTTATATTTGATCATCGCATTACAATTATTAAAATTATCAATGTTAAACATGATAATATGGTTAAATATCACACTGAAGTAGACTGATTTAAAAATAACATTTAGGTTACTTAGAATAAAAGTTCTTCTTTTGGCAAAATTAAATTTCCTTAAAAGCCTAAACAATGTCTGTCTTACTAAACTTTCCAATTGAAAACCTTCAAACTTCAAGCTTTTAAAACTACTTAAAACTTTCTAGTTAGGCTTTTTCAAGAGAACTTAAAGTTTGTCTATAACTTTTTTATCTAATTGTAAAGTGTTACCGAATTATGGTAAACATCATGTAAATGTTACAACGCTGCCTGATTCAAGCAGATCGTGGCTGTTATTGCATGAAAATACAAATTCAGCATTAACAATCACCATGTTTATTCTAATTTGAAGGGCTTTGATAACATATCTGTGAAAATAAAAGACATTACGAATAAAAAAAGATTGAAAATAGTGCACGTTTTTGCGGGTAGTGAATATTTTCAAAATGCGTTGATTTGCCTGCATTGACACCATTATAGGACGATGACATCACTGTTTTCTCCAGAGCGGTTGTATAGATTTTTCTCCAGAGCGGTTGTATAGATATATATTAACTAAATTAATGACTTTTTTACAACATAAATGAACCATCACTTAACTTAAGTTGGACCATGACACTATTTTCTTCTAGAGCTGCTGTGCCGAAACAAACTTTGCCCATTGTCCGGTTATCATTGTAAAACTGCTTTGAAACAATCTGTATTGTAAAAAGCGCTATATAAATAAAGGTGACTTGACTTGACTTCTGCATGTTCAAATCTGGTGACATGACTTATTCTCTTCAAATGGATTTGTCCAGGGCAGGATTTAAGGTGAACAATGAGTTATTAGTTGGTCGCTTACATAACTATTAACTTGCTTTAGAAGACAAGAGAGTTTAAGAGAGTTCCATGGGCATATGGTATTTTGACATACAGATATTCACTTTTGTTGAATAATAAATGCTGTGCTCTGTGGGGAAAAAAATGGTATCAAAATAGAAATGTAGGCTTACAGCATCTTTAAATTATATCTTTAAATCCTATCATACATAACAGTTTTGATAAAAAAGAACCACTATTGTAAAACTCACTTACTTGGATGGCATAAAGATAAACAACTAATTCTATTCTATTCAATTTTATTTTAGTCTTGTCGAGTATAGTCTGTTCTCTTCTTCTGGGTCCACATCAAAGCAGTGTGCTGTCTCGGAACCACAATGGTGGGCTTAAATTTGACTGAAAATTACATTGTAACATATTGCAGTAAGAAAATCATTGGCCAGTCTTCTTGAAGAGACCTCACATCGGGGCATATTGTGAAAGAGAACTCATCTTCAAGATAAGCTATAAACAAACTACAATACCATGATGAGTAAGAAGACCAATCAAAATGTTCAATGAAATGCTAACAAGCATTCTTTAAACTCTCTTTAATGGCTTTAAAAAAACATTCAAAATCACAGATGTGGTTTGAACATCCAATCACTTGCTTTGCTTTCTTTTTGGTCGTAAAATGGGGAAAAAATGAATCTCCCCTCTTCCCACCAAAGGTCTATTGACATCCAATGTTTTATTTTTTTGCATCAATGCTGGTGTGGGTGTTTTTGTCTAGTCATGTGTTACTTGTTTGCAGAACAATTATAGAATTATAACTGATATGTATCTTCAAATAAACTAGAAGAACTGTTCACATTTATTTGTGGTTCTCTTTAATCAGATTAGGGATTCTGAGAATGTAACATAACTAATCTAACACACATTTCAGTCACACGGTAATTAAAACCATTAAAATGCTGAAGAAAGAATAAGAACTTTTATATATATATAGATGACTTATATATTAATAAAATCTATGAATACAGTTTTATCTAACATATAAGGCCATCCAGATAACGTGATTTTTGCAGAATGGTTTCAGTGGCCTTTTCATTTTATTTGTAAGTTTAATTTTTTTTTTTTTTTTGTGAAAGCCAAGGTACTGAATCATGATTTGTTCATGAAAGCATTTTATGTATTTTTTTTACAAATAAATTTGAGACGGACAAACTTAAATCCAAATACATAATTTGATTGTATAATCATTCAAAACTCTAATGAGAGTTTGTTGACATGTAGGTGCAACGTTCCTAGTCAACATAATGTCTAAAGGAGACCATAAAAATAATATTACTAAACTTAATAAAAACCATACAGATATATTTAAAAAAATAAAAAAAATAATAAAAAAACTAATAAAAATGACAAAACACACAACATACAAAAACTTAAACTAAAATTAAAATCAAAACAGAAAATATTATAAACGTTTTAAATATTAACAAAAAATATAATAATATATCAATGATGCTAATTTTTTTTTTTTTATCTGTTACATGTTGTACATTGTTTTTCATTGAGTAATAGTTAGATTTAGTGGTAGTGGTCGGATGAGTTTAAACATCAACATATGTTTGTAAATTGCTCTTCAAATTGAAAATCTACTCCAGCATGCCATTATGACAAAATTATACCCCAACTAATTTCATGACAATAAAATTCCCATTACTTGTTTAGTTGTGTAATAAAGACTTAAAAGAAATTCCTGGAACTTGATGTTTTCATTTACATTAACTAAGTCAAATAAAAGTTAACAATTAAGTAAGGCTATAAATGATTAGGTAACACTTTATTTTACAGTGTCATTCTTGTTACATGTTACTATATTAATAACTATTATGCATGCAACTAAACCAAACCAAACCCTATAGCCTACATTAATATTACTCAGTACTTAAATATATAATTACAGTGTAACAAAGACACCTTCATTAACCAATTATTATTATTTAGTTCTTTTTTAAAGACAGTAGCCATACAATAAAAATTCACATGCAAACTCCTTGCTGTTACAAAACATGAAAACAAAGCAAAAAAAATTTGCATTCACTTTTAAATTAACAGAGAATCAGAAAAAATGCAGTAATGTGCTTAACATTCATTGCAACCAGCAGAGAAGAAAATATTTGCAAATTTGCATGAAAAGACTATCTGTGAACAATACTGCACATTTACAAGGGATTCACATCCAGAGAAAGCCAGATAAATCATTTTATTGTATATCAGATTATACAGTTAAGCCTTTATTTCATTTGTAAGGCGTTTCACCCAATATGAGACTGTATAGATGTGCGATTGCTTCCAGTTGTGTTAGGCAAGTTCGCATAGTTTGCTGTGGTCTGAAACAAGTACTAGGGTGAAAGAGCAGGTTGTTTTGTCAACAACCATCTCGCATTCATCAGGGTGTTCTATTGCTTTTGGGATCCTACACACACACACACACACACACACACAATACCATGTATAAGCTTTGTATTATTACTGAGAACAGAAGGTTTATGAAAGGACTAAATAAATATCATGGCCAACTACTGTAAAACTTACTTGTTACAGCATCGAATGCCAAACTGTGTACAGAGACAGTTGTAACAGTCATTCTGCCACTCAGAGTTGAAGTCATGAGCTGCTCCCTCTGAGTCGACACAACCTAAATAAACAACCACGCACAGTACCATAGAAAAGCTGTATGCAAATGTTGTTATTTATGATAATTGATAAGCATTATTTAAAACAGGACACATTAGATGGAGAGATTACAAACATTATCCTCTATAACAGCTGTGGCTAGTTTATAAAATGGCACTATATGCTCCTGTAGGCTATAAATTAATTAGGCTATAAAATACATTTATATTTTTATACAATAAAATATGAATCAAATATTGTTTAAATGTTAAACATACAAAGTAATTATATATTTAATATAACTTATAGCAGAAACATATGTTAGAAAGAAAAGGCTTTGAAGGGCACGGGAAGTGCTTTCACAGGATTGTAGCTAAATGTAACGCAATTTATTGTTCTTTACATTTTTTTCATTTGAAGCATTTAGCAATTTATTTGTAATAAACACTTTAAGTGGGCTATTTAAAAAGTGTTAGGACTATTTAGCTATAGGCTATGTTAAATTATGTTTTTTTAACACATATGCGCAGAGTGTGATGTCATGTGTGTGCGTAGAATTCGTCCTCAGCCGTAAAAAAACAAACAAACAAACAACAAAAACTTACTAAAGGCTTAATTTATCCGTTGGATTACGATTGAAAGCAGTAGGCCTATAAATAATGTCACAAATGTGATGTGCAGTCAAGTGTGTTCTCGCTTGTTGTGATTCGCGGAGTTTTGACGAGTTTTATAGACTTTATATCGTTTCTTATTCAAAAGTGGTGACCACCCCCATAAAAAAACAGCACCCCTAACCTAAAACATCTCCCCGCGCCCCGCTTTGAACACTTTTAGTCACCTTGCAGATGGTTTATTATGTCTTCGGGGGATAACAAATCAACTTGAGGTTTCTGAATGTAGCACTCGGCACTGCAGTAGACCACCACGAAGAGGAGAACGCACACTCTCAACAAACACACCTGAGAAGATGAGAAGTTACTGGACAGTTAAACATGTCAAGACATGATGCCAATAAAAAAAGAGAGATGAAAAGAGAATATTAAATTGAATGTCCCACCAATGAAATACCAATGTTAATTTTTGAGTAATTATTAATTTCAGACACTCCCCGATTGTAAAATAAGACAGAGATACTAAAAGTTGTATTTGGTTGTTGTAAAGACTTCTCAAAGGCTGTATCATACTGTACCATGTTGTAAATGTTTGCAATATCCAGCCAAAGCAGGTGCTGATGAGGGATCAGATAGTGGCCGATTAGAAAACCTCACACCTTTTTATATCGTAGGCCTACCATTGCTGTGATAAATCAAAAATGACAAGTTTGTCCTACATTAATAAAAAGGAACCGGTTTTCCCTCATGATGGGAAGGTAAGGTAATTTCTCTAGAGCAATTAATTAATACTTTGAGCCTATGTTTGATCATGTCACTTCATTTTTTTATGTGTTGGCATTAATCACAACTGCATAAAAAATAAAGAGCCTTTTGTTCCCTCTACTGAATCAATATACAGGGTTCAGCCAACACTGAAAAAACAATAAGTAAAATTGACTTCATTTTTCTTTAGCAAGTTTTTGCACAAATATTTTTAAAGTAAATTTCACACGCATATTTTTTAAGTAAATTTCACATATGGAATTAAGTAAAGTGTAGGCCTACTTAACTAAATTAAGTGAAAGTAACAAAGAAAATAAGTAATTTTAACTTGGCTAGTAAAAGGTTGAGCAATTTAGTTGAATATATATTGACTATAAAATATAACACTATTTTATCATTGCTTTTGTTGTTAGGATCATTAACCTGCCATTTTGTGACATTTGGAGTTCATTTTTCTACTTAAAATGACACATTCAAACTCAAAAACGATCCATCAAATGTTACCGTCATTGTGCATGTCTACCAAGTGAGGTCTGCGTTCACACAATTAACTTTAGAAATGAAGATATGGTGACACACACTATATGTATTGATTACTTAAACATTTCTGAGTAAATCATATACTTTAAAAGTGTAGTCTAATCCAATGTTATATTGTTTGAGTGAAATGTTGTACAAAGAAAAATTCAATTAAATAGATATTACTTAACCTTTAATTAGCTAAATAAAAATGACTTAATTTCTTATGTTACTTTAACTTAACTTAGTTAAGTATAGTTTACTTAATTCCATGTGTGAAATTTACTCAAAAAATATCAGTGCAAAAAACTTGCCATAAAAAAATTAAGTAAATTTTACTCATTGTTTTTTAGTGTGCGTGGGTTGAAGTTTCCTTTGTAAAACATTTCACTCAATCAGTTTAACATTGGATTAAACCGCAAAAAGAATATACATACTTTATAAAATCTAAGTAATGAATAGAATACTAATCAAATGTTTTATGTCTTGTGTGAACGCAGAGACCTCAATACTTGGTAGACAATACACAATGACAGTAACATTTGATGAATCGTTTTTGTGTTTGAATGTGTCATTTTGAGTAGAAAATGAACTCCAAATGTCACAAAATGACAATTTACTAATCCTAACATCAAAAGAAATGATAAAACAGTGTAAATACAGCTGGGAAAACAGTGAAAAATCAACCTCCTTAATTACTCAAGGCCCAGTGCATGATGGGAAAACCATGTATCAGAAAAGTTGAGTAATTTTACTTAATTTTATAACGTTAATATTTACGCTTTCATTTCTACACGCTTGAATTGAGTACTAATATAGAATATACTTAGTTTTTTAATTCTTGCCTGAACTAACTTTTTCATGTAAATTACATTGCTTTTTTCTGTAGTATTTACTTCACCAAAAAATAATTTTATCAGTGAATACACTGAAAAATATTTAGTTCTTTTTAAAAAGAAGTTAAATTTTGATTGTACAAATTTCAGATCAGACTAAACTGAGTTAAACAAGGCAACATTGTTATTATCTTTAAGTAATTTACATATTAAGTATTAAAATATAAGCAAGTATATAAAAATATTTTTTTCATATACTTTAAAAACTTTCATATAAATCCTATTTAAAAGGTATATGAATATTGGAATATTTCATGCATGATTCCTGGCACCAAAATGGAAAATGTTGAAATTAAATTGCATTCTCTTATAGTTCACTTTAATTTGTAGTATACTAGATTTGTAGTATACTAGTCTGTCTGATTAAAAAAATTGTAAACTAGATCACACGTTGGACAGTTAAATCATTTAATCTCTAGTCAAACAGTGCTGTATATCCTAAGCTACTTTATATATCACACCTAACTGTATAAATAGAAACTGTCATAATAAGCTAATATACAACACACTGGACATTTGTCATGCTGCTAGTTTGGTGTATAAAAAACGCATATATAAAAGTGTTTAGTGAGTCTGTAAACTTTTATTATTCCAGTAAGTATCCTCTGGGTACCCCAAATGATAAGACAGAAGTCAAGTTACATTTAAATAAAACAACAAAAACAAAACAGTACTATCATTTTTTGTTACATTCAAAAACACTGTATGCACAAATACAAATCATACTGGTCAATGAAAATGCCCTCCCTTTTTTTTTTACAATGTACTTTAAGTCCATATAAAAGTGCTGAATGTGTCTTTGATGCTGATATTGGCAAAACATTTCATAATAGCAATCTATTCTTAGAATCACATAAAATTACCTATACAAAACTATCTATACAATGGTCACATATTAATAACAGTGTCAAAAAACATAAGAATTATATCTCTGTGGCTGTAAGACTTAAATTTGCCCCATTATGACGTAGCATAGGCAGCACGAGGCATCATTTAATAAAGACTGAATGTATTTTAGCACTTTTCCTCGGTTAAACATACTGTTAGTGTTCAGGAGTTGAAATACTATGTGTCCAACGGTTAGAGAAAGATAAATCTGCAATTGTAAGAACTCAAACCTGCTTCACCAGATAATGGAAAATATGATTCTGCATAATGAGGTATAAAAAAAAAGCATTTCGAGATGTGCTTTTTAGTTTGGTATACAGGAAGAAATTATAAGAAGTTAAAGTCAAAATTCAAAACGGTGTTCTGATTTAGAGAGAATAAAGCATTACAAATAGCAGTTAAAGAAATTAAACAAAACAAAACAAAACAAATAATAAATAATTCCCCCAAAACTCCAAATTTGAAGACTGTGGAGCCAAAGTCTGAGCTAGACATAAACACAGATGGCCTATCCTAGAAGTATCCTCATGAAGGAGGGTTTGGAGAAAGGCCAGCTATACTCGTTTGGAACCGGTCCGGTCACGTTGCACTCAAAGAAAGAGAAGAGAGGGAACCAGATACGTGCTCGGCGGCTGTGCTGGTAGGCCTGCGTGTTTGCTAGCGTGTGGTAGTACAGGAACAGTCTGGTGGTGATGTAGAACGCAATGAAGACGTCGATGGAGTAATGTTCATGAGCCGCTAAGATGAAGAAGATTCCAAACAAGTTTAGGACCCAAGACATGGTGTGGATGAAGTTCCAGTTACGTGGCGTGTCTAAAAAATAAATAAAAATCACAAAAATGTTACCCACACCACTGAATCACAGCTGATAAAGTTGATATGCACGATAGATGTAAGTGCTATCTATTTAAAATGAGTAAAACTCTACACTGTTTGTGTACACTCACATTCGGTGACAAAAAAGTTGAGCATGGTGAGAACAACAGTGTGTCCGCTGAACATGTAATCGCCACATGTATGAACCCCGGTTAAAGACATGCCGAGCCCACTCCAGATGTCCAGTGCACGCTGCACTTTTGTCCATGCATCACCATACATCTGCAAAACACACATATGCAGGTTAATGGCCACACACACTGCACAGATGAATGATGGTCAGCTGAAGTGTGTAAGAGAGAAATAAATAGTGAAATAAAAAGATAGAGGGAGAAAGAGAGAGTATTTTTTGTTTTTACTTATATAAAAACAAATTAAAATAATAAATATCACAAATATAAAATTAATATTGTATATATATATATATATATATATATACACTCACCGGCCACTTTATTAGGTACCCCATGCTAGTCACGGGTTGGACCCCCTTTTGCCTTCAGAACTGCCTCAATTCTTCGTGGCATAGATTCAACAAGGTGCTGGAAGCATTCCTCAGGGAGTTTGGTCCATATTGACATGATGGCATCACACAGTTGCCGCAGATTTGTCGGCTGCACATCCATGATGCGAATCTCCCGTTCCACCACATCCCAAAGATGCTCTATTGGGTTGAGATCTGGTGACTGTGGAGGCCATTTTAGTACAGTGAACTCATTGTCATGTTCAAGAAACCAATTTGAAATGATTAGAGCTTTGTGACATGGTGGAAGTAGCCATCAGAGGATGGGTACATGGTGGCCATAAAGGGATGGACATGGTCAGAAACAATGCTCAGGTAGGCCGTGGCATTTAAACGATGCCCAATTGGCACTAAGGGGCCTAAAGTGTGCCAGAAAAACATCCCCCACACCATTACACCACCACCACCAGCCTGCACAGTGGTAACAAGGCATGATGGTTCCATGTTCTCATTCTGTTTACGCCAAATTCTGACTCTAACATCTGAATGTCTCAACAGAAATCGAGACTCATCAGACCAGGCAACATTTTTCCAGTCTTCAACTGTTCAATTTTGGTGAGCTCTTGCAAATTGTAGCCTCTTTTTCCTATTTGTAGTGGAGATGAGTGGTACCCGGTGGAGTCTTCTGCTGTTGTAGCCCATCCGCCTCAAGGTTGTGCGTGTTGTGGCTTCACAAATGCTTTGCTGCATACCTCGGTTGTAACGAGTGGTTATTTCAGTCACTGTTGCCCTTCTATCAGCTCGAACCAGTCTGGCCATTCTCCTCTGACCTCTGGCATCAACAAGGCATTTCCGCCCACAGAACTGCCGCTCACTGGATGTTTTTTCTTTTTCGGACCATTCTCTGTAAACCCTAGAGATGGTTGTGCGTGAAAATCCCAGTAGATTAGCAGTTTCTGAAATACTCAGACCAGCCCTTCTGGCACCAACAATCATGCTACGTTCAAAGTCACTCAAATCAACTTTCTTCCCCATACTGATGCTCGGTTTGAACTGCAGGAGATTGTCTTGACCATGTCTACATGCCTAAATGCACTGATTTGCCGCCATGTGATTGGCTGCTTAGAAATTAAGTGTTAACGAGCAGTTGGACAGGTGTACCTAATAAAGTGGCCGGTGAGTGTATATACATATATAGCATATATGTATATATTTAAGTTTAAGTTGAAGCATTATAATTATTAACTGGAAAGAAATAAACTAAAACTAAATACTAAATACACAACAAAATGACAAAAAATTAAACAAAAATTCACACCGATGCTGGACGATTGGTATCTCGGGGTGGCGCGTGCTGGTTCTCAGCAACCCAGCCATGCCTTTCTTCCCAGAGGTGCATGAGGAGCTCACTGGGGCGTGGACGGCACCGTCCCGGTGGCTCCTCCTCCCTCACCACCCTTGATGGCGGGGCGGCTAAGGGTTACATGCGCATCCCACCAGTGGAGCGGGCCGTTGCTATGCAACTGTGCCCTAACTCCACTTGGCGCGGAGAGCCGTGTCTCCCTACTCGGGCCTGTAATCACTCGTCTGACTTAACCGGCAAGGCTTACAAGGCCTGTGGGGAAGCCGCCTCTGCCATACACACCATGGCGTTGTTGCAGGTCCATCAGGCCAAGGCACTGAAGGTTGGTCATGATCCACAAGTTCTCCAAGAACTTTGCGCCGCAACGGATCTCGCACTTCGTGCGACGAAGGTCACTTCGTGAGCGATGTCCACTGTGGTGGTCCAGGAACGCCATCTCTGGCTTTGTCTGGCTGACATGAGGGAGACTGACAAAGTCAGGTTCCTTAGCTCCCCTGAATCCTCACCACTCTCATCCACCTCTTCTATCGCCAGCGGGCAGCAGCGAAATTCGAGAAGGCAACCAAACCTCCTCCTGTGCCTCCTGCCCCGTGGAACCAGTTAAGTGTTGCACACCACACTCAGACCCCGCTACGGGCCGCCTCCCAGAGAGAGCCTCCCGAGCCGCGTCCCTGTGCTCCACCTCACTGCCCCAATGCGGGTACGCCTACGGTCCCTATGGTTCCGCTTGTACGGTCTCTGCAAGTCTGGTTAGCGCTCCCCAGTCCGTCTTGCTGGCTCATTTGGACCATCAGGCTTGGCTTTGCGATTCAGTTCGCCTGGCGTCCCCCCAAGATGGGGGGGATTCCACTCCACTACAGTGAGAGCAGCCGATCCCCATGTCTTGCGAGCGGAGATTGCAGTCCCACTGGCGAAGGACGCGATAGAGCCGGTCCCTCCAGCCGATATGAGGTTAGGGCACTACAGTCCCTACTTCATTGTACCCAAGAAAGGTGGTGGGTTCCGACCAATCTTGGACCTGCGAGTTTTGAATCAGAGTCTCCACAAGCTACCGTTCTAAATGGTCACGCATAGACGCATTTTAGAATGCATCCGTCCCCGAGATTGGTTTGCAGCGATCGACCTGAAGGGCACGTACTTTCATGTCTCGATTCTTACTCGACACAGGCCGTTTCTGCGCTTTGTGTTCGAGGGTCGAGCATATCAGTCGACCCTTCGGGCTGTCCCTGTCTCCCTGTGTCTTCAAGAAGTCACGGAGGGGGCCCTTGTTCCCATGAGAGAACAGGGCGTTCGCATCCTCAACTATCTCGACGACTGGCTCATACTAGCACACTCTCGAGATCAGCTATGCGAACACATGGACCTCGTGCTCAGGCACCTCAGCCAGTTGGGTCTTCAGGTCAACTGGGAAAAGAGCAAACTCTCGCCCGTGCAGAGGAGCTCTTTTCTCAGTATGGAGTTGGATTCGGCGTGCCTCACAGATGAATGCACTCGGTCGGTGCTGAACTGCCTGAATACGTTCAAAGGCAGGACAGCGGTCCCACTCAAATTCTTTCAGAGGCTCCTGGGGCATATGGCAGCGCCAGCAGTGGTAACACCGCTCGGGCTGCTCCATATGAGACCGCTTCAGCACTGGCTTCACGGCCGAGTCCTGAGATGGGCGTGGCGCGCACGGCACTCACCGGGTGACAATCACACCGGCGTGCCGCGGTGTTCACAGATGCCTCTGCCACTGGCTGGGGTGCCACGTATAACGGGCATGCAGTGTCAGGGGTGTGGACGGGCCCCCAACTGCATTGGCACACCAATAGGCTTTATGCACGATCGCTTCCGTGTTTTGTCTCAGCCCGCCCAGTTACATCCGGTGCTGCGTCGCAAGCCGTTTTTGCATCAGGTGGAGATAATGGCAAACTACACTCGCTGTTTACAAGAACTTCCAGCGGTTAACGTGAATGATGTTAACAATATTGTGAGGCAGTTAGCTGTCACACATAAGAGTAAGAAAGAGAAGGGCATTAAATTATATATTTCGAGCTACATCGACAACTTTGAGGGTGAGAAATCTCTCATATCATGCGAAATCCGACTAGCGAATCAGTTTCTAAAATTGTTGTCTCGTTTCTGAGAAAATGAATTTTATTAAAGTTTGGCCGCTAGTACACTTCGCTATAGAACGCGCTGTGCGGAGGTAAAGACACTGGCTGAGATTCTACCGGAAATACGTCAGCAATGTTCGTGCATAGAGCCTATTGCCTCGAGTTGCCAGCAGTACGTCTCACTCTGAGCCGCTTAAAAAGGCCGCTACAGGGCAGGGACGTGCTGGTCCGTAGACAACACTGTGACCGTTGCGTACATCAACCGGCAAGGTGGTCTACGCTCCCGTCGCATGTCGCAACTCGCCCGCCATCTCCTTCTCTGGAGTCAGAAGCATCTGAGGTCGCTTCGAGCCATGTATGTCCCTGATGTGCTCAACCGTGTGGCCGATGAGCTGTTACAAGCTGTGCTCTCGGGAGAATGGCGACTCCACCCCCAGGCGGTTCAGCCCGAAGATGTTCGATTGGGTCCGTGCTTTCCTTCTTGCAGCAAGGGTTGAAGCGAAGGCTGTCTCCCTCCACCCTCAAAGTACATGCTGCCGCTATTTCAGCATATCACGACCACATAGATGGCAAAACAGTAGGAAAGCACGACCTGGTCGTCAGGTTCCTTTGGGGGGCGAGACGGTTAAACCCTCCTCCATACCCTCTTGGGACCTTTTCTTGGTGCTCCGAGCACTCCAGGATGCTCACTTTGAGCCTTTGCAATCAGCAGACTTAAAGCTTCTCTCCATGAAGACTTTGCTGCTGGTTGCACTGGCCTCTATCAAGAGGGTAGGGGACCTGCAGGCATTTCCGGTCGATGAATCGTGCCTAGAGTTTGGGCCGGGTGACAACCATGTTGTACTGAGACCCCAGCCTGGCTATGTGCCCTAGGTTCCTACCATTCTCTTCAGGGACCAGGTGGTAATCCTGCAAGCGCTGCCCCTGGAGGAGACAGACCCAGCCCTGGCTTTGCTCTGTCCTGTCTGCGCTCTGCGTCTACGTGGACAGAAATCAAAGTCGCAGGTCCTCAGACCAGCTCTTTGTCTGTTACAGAGGCCAGCAGAAGGGAAAGGCTGTCTCCAAGCAGAGGATGGCCCACTGGATAGTGGATGCCATCGTCTTGGCTTACCAAGCACAAGGTGTGCCCTCCCAGCTCAGGTTGCATGCTCACTCCACTAACAGACATCTGTAGAACTGAGGGCTGGGCAACACCTAACACGTTCGCTAGATATTATAGCCTACGTGTAGAGCTGGTCTCCTCCCGTGTTCTCACCCTAAGCGGGTAGAAGCTCTGAGAGGCCCGGCTCTGTTGACTTGCTGCACCCTACTGTGCACCCTTATTGCTCCAGAGTGAAAAACCTGTTGAGTTTCCAACACCCTCTGCCTGGACGTGGCGGAGCATCCGGCGCCAGGCCTTTATCCGTTGAATCCTTGAGAACCGGGTCTAGGCTGGGTCCCATATGTGTGACCCTGCGGGGATCCCAAATGTGTATTTCTTCCACGGCTGCTCCTAAACGGAAGCCTGTGTCTTTCTCTTGGGCTAAGTCACCACCCAGTATTCATATGCAGTACAACCTTCGGGTTAGTCCATATGTATATCTCCAAATAACTCCTTTAGGGAAGAATGTGGGTTCCGAAGCGTTCTCCTTCCTAACAGAAAGGGCACGCTTCCCCAGTGTTATCCAAGAATCCTGTATGGGTTATCACGGGACAACAGTGACAGATATACTCTGTGTAAGCCCTCTCCTATCGTCCTTCCAGGCAAGAAGGGGCAAGAGGCTTGCACAGGGCGCTGGATGGGGTCAGCAGCTGTGGCCCTTTGGTAGGGATTCCTATTCGTCGGTCTCGGACGCCACGTCCCGTCGCCACATCTGCTGCAGCCCGCTGGGGCAGCCAGCTTATCAGCTCGGCTCCTCAGCAAAAAACTGAAGTGCAATCGCACCTGCTGCTCATTATATACCCATGCTGCGTGGCTGAATAGCTGATGCAAATGATTGCACGCCAATGTGCACTGGCTTGGTTAGTTTCACTCCTAGTAGATTGGCCTCTCTAGCGAGATTCCTATTCGTCGGTCTCGACGTGGCGTTTCCTCTCTACTATCTAGAATGAATCTCCTTAATTTGTGCATTTATTATGTTACATATTATATTACATATAATATGATATATTTCAACTCTAATTCTGTCCAATAAGAGAAACAAGATTAACATTGTGTGGCATTTGTCTTGTTTTAAAGAAATGTTGCGGGGACTACCTACAGTAAAGTGTCTTACTTCATTGCCCATCCCAAATGCACCTTCAAAAATAAATCCTATATATGCATGTTTCTCACCTTGCCTGAACACTGTAGGTGATGACCAGGTACAGACAGTGAAGTTACAAACATGGTGACACAGCGGAGCAAGAATACAGTGCCCGTCAAATTACACAGTCTGCGAAACAGAATGGACCTATCACACAAACACACAATGACAGAAGTTACAGTAAGATGGGAATTGAAAAAGATCAGGGGTTCACAACAAGCAAAATAACAATAATATTAAATTCACTGTTTTACCACAATGAAAAAACAAAACCAACTCTTAAATGTTACTGTAAACGCATCAACCAAACACCATAGTCTACATAGTCAAATTACATCTAGAAAAAGCCTCTCTGTTTAATGACTACCTCTATCAAACATGAAAATAACATTTACATGAGATTGTCATAGTAATGAAGTATTTTCATAAGTACCAGCAAATGTCTGAAAAGAAGAGTGTTGTCTCTGAGAAGATTATAATTACACAATATGCAACAGTTGTGAGACCACAGTAAACTTTATAAAGTGTCTCTAAGTGCTGGTTTGTATTTTCTGTGTGTTTACCTATGTTTGTGCATTAACAAGACCAGCACTAATATGGAGCCCAGCACCACTGCACATGCTTCAGCCATGGCGAAGGCCCAGGGAATTCTGGGAACACTGACACATAAATAAAGAGTCATAATTCTTGATGTTAACACTCAAACCATTCGAAAAACAAGATACTGAGCATAAACACAGATAAAAATGAAAATTCAGAATTGTTTGTCTTGATCAGAGGAATCATCATTTTGACCACTGTTGCTAAGCACATTCAAAATAAAAAAGACGTAAAATAAAATACAAAATCGTTTTCCATTTTTTCCCTACGAAATGAATATTTAAACATTTTTTCTTCAATTATTTTATACAGTACAATACTATCCAAGTACTATACAGTTATATCATTGCATAGTAACAGTTATATTAGATATACTGTATTTACATAATGTAAATAACATTACATATGTTTATTTTTGATTAAAGAATGTTTGATTCACTGCCATGAACTGACTAATAGAAATACATTTTTGCAGATGAAGTTTAAATAAATGCAATTAAAATATATGTCTTAACACTGGAGCAATATTTTATTTATTTATTTTATTTATTTATTTCTTTATTATTACAGGGACAGTGCATATTAATTAACATTGTTGCCAATATGCCAGAATTAGCCAGAAGGCTATTTTTCATCTGCAGTCCCCGGACAGATATTAAAAGTCACCCTAAAAGAGAATAAAAATTACATAAAATAAATAAATAAATAAATTATACAATACATTATTGTAATGTTATGTGCTTTGAGACATGAGGTAGTTTAACGCCGTCTCTTGCGATGCTTTTGAATGCTTTTTCTACAATATAACACACTTATCCCAAAAATACATCCACCTCACACATCCAGATATAACTCACCTGTCTAGAAATATGTCTGGAAGTGGCGGGTACGTCCTCATGTCAGGAACCCTCTCATGCACTAGCACCATGACAAATGATGTCACTCCGCACACCAGCATGGCATAGAGTGCGCTGAGGGTGGTCTTCCAGTACTCCGGGTCAAACCGACCACAATACTGCTTACGCTTCCCGTTTGAGTAAGTGTGTTCACCACCAACTGTAGTGACCGCCCCATTATAGTGTTGGTGGTCTCCTGACTCTCGCTCTGTGAAGCTATTAGAGACGGCACGGTCTGTTTTGCCAGTGTGTATGGGAGACAACGAACTGACCTCTGACCCTGAATGCACGAGGACTGTGTGTTGTCTCTGTAGTCTCCGCATAGCCAGCATCAATCTCTTGATATCACCCAGCACCTTAAGCTCCAGCGGAGGAGACCGCAGGTCAGTCTCAGAAAGACACAGTAGGCTGGCACCATCCAAACGGTGCTTAGAGCACAAGAGATCCACATATTCACGAAATCCCTGTTCTCTAAGCCAGCCAGCTACCTGCTTACTGCTCCAACTCTCCACACCGACGTACCTGGAGCCCGGCATACCTGCAGAGACAGACATGATGTTCTTAGTTTTGCATGAAAGTTAAAGTTCGGGTGGGCAATTTTCGGAGAGGCTAACAATAGCAAGCTAACTTTAAAAGCATAAGATCCCTCCCTTCCTTCAGAGCGCTTCCAATGCCACGCCTCCTTCAAAACACATGAACGCGAACAGCAGGGACGAGAAAAAGCATTCAAAAGCATCGCGAGAAACGGCGTTAAACTACCTCATGTCTCAAAGCACAAAACATTACAATAATAATGAACATAAACTACTTAAAGAGCACTGACCTGTATCACCTGACTGCTGCAGGTTCATTTCGCCGTTGATAGTGTTGCCATTGAAATGCATAAATTCGAGTCAAGAACTGCTCTAAATATAATGTAACGGGTTTTCTTCTCTTCCGAATTACAGTAGTTATGGCGTTAACGCAGCATAAGCTCGATGTTTTGGTTCAGAAGGAACAGTAAAAGGTGGCTGCTGTTTCGGTTGCGGTGCTCGGTGACTGTATCTGTCTAACTCTGCATAGCATGAAACGTGCTGATAACGTGTGATGTCTATGCGAACAGGGTGCAGGCCGGTAGGACATCGTATCGGACTGAATGCAATAGACGAACATTTTATGATCCTACGCCTTCCACAGACGATGTTTATACATATAAATAAATTTAGACCACTAAACTTAGTGATTGCTATCAGGATGTGAAGAGACTTTGAACCAGCATAACAATTTTATTTTTTTGGAACAAATAGCCTACCCTGCCTTTAAGCTAGTTCCACTTTTTATTTTGAAGTGTCTGTCTTATATTCCCTGCTTTCTTTTCCATTCTGTTGCAATCTGTCTATGTGTTTGTGATGTAAACGCCAAGAACGTACCTAACTACACAGAGGTTCCTTAAAGGGATAGATCACTGAAAAATGAAACTTCTGTCATTATTTACTCACCCTCATCAGAAGAAAGTCAGTCATACAGGTTTTAAACAACATGAGGGAGAGTAAATGATGACAGATTTTTTGGGTGGACTAAGCAGACAGTCACTTTTTACACCCCTGGTCTCATTGAGTCACTCTCAGCTCAACATCTTTCCTTCTCTCTCTGAATCCAAAGGTCTGTGTACAATCAGTACTAATTGTATTCGAGTACATTCATGCAATCTTTAGTGCAAAATTCTGCTGATTCTGGAGCTTGAGTGCTAAAGTGCAGAGTTTCTAACAAACAAACAAGGGACACTTTCTTATCAGGGACTGTGTGTAACCTATGTAATCAGTTCAATGAATGTCTGAAATTTGATCAGTGTGCTAGGCTGAATTAAGTCTAAATTATCAAACCTTATGACCGGTGCTCGCTGACTTAAATAACATTGTGAACTAGTCACTTCACTTGTATGATCTCAATAAATACTCATTTAGACAACTACAGGGAACTTAAGATCTTGAGCTTATACGGAGATGATGTCTTAATTTGAGTTCAAATGTTTACACCTGTCATCAGGCCAAAGGACTTGCAATTTGTACACAGATAGACAGGATCTGATAATACCGATGTTTCTTAAACATGCTGAATTACATTACACACATAGATCCTTATTAGTGCTCTATGTTAGACCTACTGGCTCAACAGGATGAGCTAAAAATAAGCCAACATTTCTACCCATGCTATAGATGATGATGAAAGAATTGTTATTTTTGGGTGACCTATCCCTTAAGCATGTAATGCGTTTGACAGGTATGTGCTGTTTGTACATGTACTGTCTACTATATACATTACTGATCTGTTGAACCTTAATGACAGACTGTCACATGAAAGTCCTGGAACTAGAATGACTAAAAAAACATCACGACATTCAGTGGAGCGACTTAAATAAATAATACTCAACTAAAACAGCCCCAGTCCATTTAAAAATGATTACAATCATTGGGTGTGTGAGAACACACACACACACACACACACACACACACACACACACACACACACACACACACACACACACACACACACACACACACACACACACACACACACACACACAAGAATACCGCCACTCGGTACCAAGAGCAATTATTGATTCAGGGAAGCTTCATCCTCTTGCACAACACTGCATGAACAAACAACTTGTTGTTACCAAATCCAGGGGCATTTGGATGAGTTTTATCTCACATCAGCAATTTTGGTTTAGTCAAATAAAATATTATTCTAGAATCTAAGGGGATTAGAACCTACACAATTCTGGAACTGACAGCAGTAGAATGAAGTTAATAAATTATGTCAAAAGTTAAATTCGAGCACCTAACAACAAACTTAAAAAAATATGTTAAATGATTTCTGGATAAACTATTTAATATTCATGACATATGCCTTTGCAGATTAGTTTTGCAGAACAATAAATTAGGCCAACAAAACTTAAAAAGTACAAACAAATTACAAAAAAAAAAACTTTTATGAGTCATTTGGGTTCGATAGTGAAGGAAAGGCAGACAACAAGTGGGTAGCATTCATGGAGACTCATTTAATACAGTTTAAAATGCAAACATAAACTATTTTTTATCATTCCCAGTTCCCACCCAAAAAAATCTTGAAAGTTGTTGCACTAACTACGGACGCTAGAGGCGCCAAAAGACAAAAAGGATTGCGCCTGACCACGAACCTCATGAGTGGCGTCATTTAAGTTACTTAGCCTAGTAGATATAGACATTTAATATCGTCAAAATTGAAAAGCCAACTAAACTTGATTAAAGTCGCGTTTGGAGCGTGGCCACTGGCCAGATTCCAGTTTCCGAACTGTGACTCCGGTGTCCGATGTACCGGGGGCGCGTGAGTCTATCTTGACTTTGACAGTAATCACAGATCCGACTTTTAAACTAAACCTGTGCTGTCCCAGAGGCACGACCAAGGATAACCTTTAAAAATAAATAACATCAAATTGTTCTAAAATGGACACTTCACCAAACAATGAATGAACACAAAAGGAGATGTCAGACCAAATGACAGTCTTAGTCACCATTCAATTGTATGGAAAAAGCTACGAAACTGAATGATGACTGCGGCTGTCGGTTCCTCTTAACATCTCCTTTGCGTTTCACGGGAGAAAGAAAATCATACAAGAAGTTTCAAACAACATGAAGGTGAGTAAATGATATCCATGTGGAAACAGAAAGGAATAGCAAATAATCCCATAGATAGAGTAACGTTAAAGCATTGACGCTCAAACGACTCTACAAATGACGGAAAAAAGCACTGACAAATCTGACTTTGGTTCTCTGTCACAGTGAAGAGTGTGATGTATGGATGGGAATTGCTTGTCATATAAGCTATGCGTCTGTCTTACCCTGTTTATCCTTGTGGTTATTTAAATTATCCAGTTGTTAAAAAATCCTCACCTTGCAATACCGAGCCACATCAGCCTTCTGTTTCTGAGTCACCATGCTGCCAACGCCCAAAAGCATGTAAACAGGAATCGTCGTCACACATGACACGCCCCTTGGGTGTGGCTACAGAACTCCAAATATGGAATTGTTCTAGGCTAGAACTTGTTCAGTGCTGTATCGATACTGACAACACTCTCATTAGTCATTACTATGGAACTTTCTTATCATTAGGTAATTATCTTGTTTTACACGCTGTACCTGAATGTAATGTAGGCTACTGGAAATGCGCTAAGTGCTTAAGCTATGAACGTTTTTTGTTGCGTTTTCTGGAAGTTTGTAGGCAATGGGTAGGCTATTGAGTGCTTAGTCATAAATAGGTGCCCATACTAAAAAAATAATAATCAACGATTAAGAGTTGTATCTCACAACAACCAACAATAAAAACAAACAAACAAACAAACAAATACATATTTATTATTCAATATTAGACCAATATAATATTTTAAGTTTAAACATTATTCTAATTTTTCATGCCAGGTTACAGAAGTATTTACCAGTTAGGCGGTCCATATTTCCTACTGTACATTATAATGTTGAATTCATGAACACTGCATATTTCCAAACTGTACTCAACAGCCAGATGCAACTCAGCAGCATAATTCTCATCATGTATTTAGTTCTGGTGGCTTTAGTCTGGGATGAAGCGCTGTAACTGTGGTCACCACAACAACAGTTACTCATTGGTCAGGAATCCTCTGGAACAGCAAGTGTGTGATTTGATTAAGTGGTGAGACTTCACATTGTGACCTCAATTTGGGAAGGTGAATTATTACATTACACATTTGAACCACTTTTGTTAATGACAGCTCAGTTTATGTGCACAGCCTTTGTCAATGAAGCATACACAACTTTCTGGAAATATAAAAATGTCTTTGTTGTTCAGTGCTACAAGATCTAGAAAATGTATATGCTAACCGTCTCTATGCTCTCAATAATGATTATTTCCTAAACTACTCTGTAACTCTGTAATTTCTGTACAGTTGTCTTATTGTTCTGATAATGGCTATATTTGACCTTCTATGGCATGTAATAAACAGATTTAGAAGTAACAGAAAAATAAATATTCTACACTCATAAAAATAAAAGGTTTCAAAAGTGTTTTTTCTCTCTCGCAGTGATGCCTTAAAAAAACCTTTTGTGCAATGAATGGTTCCATTGATGTTTTCCATGGAACCATATAGAATATCTTTTTTATTTTTAAGAGTGTAAAGCAATCTACATTGTTTTACCTTCTGTCTATTTATACACATGAGTTTGAACCTGAGTTGAGAATATACAGAGTTGGTCCTACTCTTTGTACACTAGGTTGTGCTGTTGTACTTAGATGTGGCAGTTGACTTAGGGTTAGTAAGGCTATATTCAGTGGTATTTTGTAAAATTAAAGGTGAATGATCTGAAACACTTCTGTGCATGTTGGTTTGAGGGTAGTTCCAGAATAACCCACATTCAACATTATCAGCTTTCTTGTGTGTTTGCATTAGTTGTTAGATTGTATCTGATAACGATTTCTATCTGTTTTAGCTTAGTTTAATTGTCCTGAACCTTACTGGTTATTGGTATGCACACACCTACCATTATTCTGAAAGCCTGACAACCTTTTCAGGATGACCTAGGAGTATGTTGTCCTGCATGTCTAATGAAAAGTGTTTTCTCAGGATAAGCTGCTTTACCATTAAATTATGGGAAGCACATATTTTCAACAGCTGGAATCAATTTGGACAGAAATATCCTTGTTAAGATCCCCTGGACTGCTGATGTCAAAGGGATGCAGGTTACTTCTGCAAGATAATACACTCAATTACACAGTGAAATAGCATTCTTGATGCAATTATTACCTCAAATTAAGGCCTGTGTATATTGCACATGCCTGCTATCCCAATATTATTGTGTGTGTGCATCAGAAAGAGAGATAATCTGTTGACTATTCCACAGTTACATTTAACATTATGAACACAGAGTAGACATAATAATGTGTGTGGATGTGATATGTAGGCCAGTGCAAATTCCTGCTCGGGGTGATTGGAAAGAATGAGAACAAATATGAGCTCTGTTGTTTTTAGTGTGTGTTATATAAATTGTCTCTGTTTGGTACTGATCAAGTTTCAAGTTATCCACAATTGTTTTATATGTTAATTTAGGGCTGCCAATCAATTCAAAGTATAATCAAATTAATCACAAAATTAACTGAGAAAAGCCTCAAAATGAAGATAATTAAAAGACATTGTAATATTTGAGAAGTTACTTTGGATTAGTTTAGATATATTGTTTGTTGTACTTCCATATAACTGACTTTCGCAGTACACATCAATTCATTTTGGAATGTTCAGTCATGCTTGTGCATTCAGTCTAAAATATTAATAGTTGAGTCAGACTGACGTCATTGGTCATAGCATCACGTTTGTATTTCAGCGTTTGGAGCTATGAGTACTGCATTTTAAGATGGTGTGTCAAGTACTTCAGCTTTAAAAAGTATACCTAAGCTTTAAAAATACATCTTGAGATCCCTGGGTTCCCTAGCAAGACATTTTCAACAATGTTGTCCCCAAAAGTATTCATCTGTTGGTCAGAAACACACATAAGCACAGTGTGCATACCCTAAAACTACTCCGAGTGCACAAATGACTAACTTTTTCCTGCGTTTGTGCAAAGTCGCAACTTATTCACACATTCCATTTTTCATGTCAAACCCAGCAGAGATGCAACATATTTATGTAATTGAATAAGTGCAATTTAGTGTGCAGTATTACATTTGTAGTATGATTTATAATGTAAGAAAGTGCATTGTGCTTGTTTGTTCATGGGTCAGCTGAATTCCTGTAGAAATAAGCAACATAGACATGTAGTCCATGTGAAATATGATATTGGGGTCAGAAATAGAGTGAGAGAGAGAGAGTAATGAAGACAAAAGAGATAGTCAGAGAGAGAGATAGGGATTCTGTGATTTTTCAGGAAAAGCAGTTCAGATGGAGGCCGTTGACGTGGCAGAGAGGAAGTGGTTTCAGTCCGATGGGGGAATGAGGAGTGAGGAGAGGGGGAGCCATAGGAGGGAAGGAAAGAGAAAAAATTAAGAGCAAAACAGAGAGAAAGCGGGACTGTAAAAAGGGGAATAAAATGTCCCTTTGTCGGTACACTGTGAAGACTAAAAGTTTATTAAACTCCTCGTCTGTGCAGCTTTGAGGAAAGCTCAATATTATACGAGTGATAGAACTGCTTACCAACCTTGTGTAAAGTTACACAATTCAAAAGTTTGGGGTCACTATGATTTTTAAATGTTTTTGAATGAGTATCTAATGCTCACCAAAACTGTGAGCTATTTATTTGTTCAAAAATACATTAAAAACAGTGAAGAAGTTGTATTACAATTGAACATAGCTTTTTTCTATATTTTATTTATGTTTTAAATTTAAAATGTAATTTATTCCTATGGCTAAGCTGCATTTTCAGCATCACTACTCCAGTCTTCAGTGTCACTTGATCTAGAAATATGCTGATTTGCTGCTCAAGATTTCTTATTATTGTCAATATTGACGACTTTATTTTAACACACAGCTTACTGTTTTTGTTGAAATCGAAATGCATTTCTTTTAGCATTCTTTGATGAATAGAAAGTTCAAAGGAACAGCATTTATTTGAAATATCTATATTTATGTATATATGCTGTATATATATATATATATATATATATATATATATATATATATATATATATATATATATATATATATATATATATATATATATACAATCTTTCACCTCCTGCTCCTGTCATGACCATGTACTGTAAAGCTGGTAAACCCGTGGGTCATGGTTTGGCGGATTAGCATTTGGCAGTTAGTTAGCCCCTGCTGGTAGATCAT